AAAAAAAATTTAATGGAATAACGTAGCTTGATAACCATTTGAGGGTTCAGGTCTGTGAAATAGAGGGGAATCATGAGAATCTTTCTTGTTTAAATAACCAAAATAAACTGAAAAATTAGGACAATGAATGTACAAGATTCAAACCAACTTCAATAATTAAGACTGACCGAATTGGTGCATAAGGTTTGTGCTTTGAAGCACTCCTTCTGCTCCAAATTCATAAGAAACTAAGTTTCAGAGAAAATATATAAAAACTAAAAAGACATTCTCACATTAAAAAAATAAATAGATGACAATGAAGAGTAGCCTTTCTGTGGAGCAAAAGTGCAAGACAGTGAGCAGGACCAAAACTGTGGTTCTGCTGGCCTCCACTGGACATAGGCCACAGGGCTGGGAGTTGGGTTCCTGTGGAGCAGCAGGGCTAAAGGTGTGTTCCACCTGAGTTAAGCCAAGGCCAGGCTTCACTACTTGGTGCTGGAGTTACTCCTGGTAAGAATGAATATTAAATAATATAGTGCCTGTAAAGTGCTTACAACTGTGCCTCAAGTGGAACGGAGTGGGAAAAGGGGAACACAGAGAACTCCATCAATCCAAGAGAAATCAGAAAAGGGGGAAGAAAAAGAAAGGACAAGAGACTGAAAACCTGAAATAAACCAGGAGAACTAAATATAAGAATATCCATAACCATGTTAACTGTAACAGATTAAATTTGCCTATTAAGACAGAGGTACAGATTGGGTGAAAAATAAAATCCAGCTGTATGCTGCTTACAAGAGACAGACATACAAGCATAATATCATCAGAAATGTTGAAATGAAGAGAAAGGTGAAAAGAAAGCTTTTCTGGCAACATTAATATCAGGCAAAATAAAATTTAAAGTTAAACTGTTAAGATAAAGATGGACATAACAAAAGGAGTGATGTATGAAGAAGCTTAAACAGTCATGAGTAGATGTACATTTAACAACGTAAACTGAAAAATATAAAGTCAAAATTTATAAAATTAGGAGGAATTTTGTAAATCCACCGTCAAAATGGGAGATCTGTAGGCATGTATCTATTAGAAATTAGTAGATCATGGCCGGGCGCGGTGGCTCAAGCCTATAATCCCAGCACTTTGGGAGGCCGAGACGGGTGGATCACGAGGTCAGGAGATCGAGACCATCCTGGCTGACACGGTGAAACCCCGTCTCTACTAAAAAATACAAAAAAGTAGCTGGGCGAGGTGGTGGGCGCCTGTAGTCCCAGCTACTCAGGAGGCTGAGGCAGGAGAATGGCGTGAACCCAGGAGGCGGAGCTTGCAGTGAGCCAAGATCCGGCCACTGCACTCCAGCCTGGGCGACAGAGCGAGACTCCGTCCAAAATTAGTAGATCAAACAGTCAAAATAAGATTAGGGAAGAACTGAGCCACACTATTAACAAGGTTTATTTATTAAGTACAGTTGAACCTTGAACAGCATGGAGACTGGGGACACCAAACCACTGCGCAGTTGAAAAACAAGTGTAACTTTTGATTCTTCCAGAACTTAACTACTAGTAGCCTTTTGTTGACCAGAAGCTTTACTGATAATATAAATCACCAATTAATACATTTTATATGTCATATGTGTTATATACTTTATTATAATAAAATAAGCTAGAGAAAAGAAAATGTTAAGAAAATCACAAGGAAAAGAAAATGTATTTACAGTTCATTCAGTGTAAGTGGATCATCATAAAGGCCTTCATCCTTCATGGTTTTTCGGGTTTTTTTGTTTGTTTGTTTGTTTTTGAGACAGAGTTGTGCTCTGTTACCCAGGCTGGAGTGCAGTGGCGCCATCTCAGCACACTGTAACGTCTGCCTCCTGGGTTCAAGTGATTCTCCTGTCTCAGCCTCCCAAGTAGCTGGGATTACAGGTGTGCACCGTCATGCCTAGCTAATTTTTTGTATTTTTAGTAGAGATGGGGTTTTGCCATGTTGGCCAGGCTGGTCTGGAATTCCTGGCCTCAAGTGATCTGCCCACCTTGGCCTCCCAAAGTGCTGGGATTACAGGCGTGAGCTGCCACACCTGGCTCTTATCTTCATGTGAATTAGGCTGAGGGAGGAGGAAGAGGAAGGGTCAGTCTTGCCATCTCAGGTGGCAGAGGTGGAAGAAAATTCACATGTGAATGGACCTCTGCAGTTCAGACCTGTGTTCAAGGATGAAGTGTATACAGTATGCCATAGCTGTGTAGTAAGATGTTTGTGTTAGGGGAAAGTGGATGAAGGATATACAGGAACTCTTTGTACTATTTTGGTAACTTTTCTATAAATTTCAAATTATTCCACAATAAAACAATTATGTTTAAATGATAATGTGCACATGTAAAACAGAAAATCAAGTTCAGAGGATAAATTAAGATGAGCAACACCTCCATGGTGAGACGTTTTAAGACATCATTGAAGAACACAAGATGCATGAAAAAAATGAAGGCACACAATCATGTTCATGGCCAGGAAAACTTGGTATCAGAAAGATATTAGGTCTCCCCATGTTTATTTATACATCAATTAATATTGTTCCAGTCAAAATTCTACCTTTTTAAAAAAGATCTGGACAAAAAGGGTTGAGAAATACTAAGACAACTTTGAAACTAAGCCATGTGAGGGAAATTGATCTACCAGGTAGCAAGACTTACTACAAAATGATAGTAATTAAGGTTGTGGTATTGTCACAGTGATAAGTGGATAGCCAATGAAATAGAAGAGACAGCTCAGAAAGATCCCATGTACATACGACATCCTGCTACATATTAGAGGTGACAATTACTTGGCTGTGGAGAATGGATAGACTATTCAATAAATGATGCTGGGACCATTGATTATTCAAGTAGGAAAAAAATAAAATCAGATCTTTATGCCAAATGCAGAAATAAATTCCATAAAGTCAGTGAAAACCTGTACTTTAAAATTTGTAGAAAGAACATAAGAGAATATCTTTTTTACCTTGGAGTAGAATAGGATTTATCATACCAAAAACTCAAACTAAAATTGGAAAAGATTGATAACTGCTTACATTTAAATTTTTTAAACTTCTATACAAAAAATGATACCAACAAAATTAATAGGCAAGTTTATTTTCAGTATATGTAACCAACCTGAGATTAGTATCCAGAGTATAAAGAACTCCTTTAAATCACTAAGAAAGAACCCAGATTCCCCCTGCCCCAACACCCCCGAGATGGAGTCTTGCTCTGTCGCCCAGGCTATAGTGCGGTGACTCGATTTTGGCTCACTGCACCCTACACCTCGGGTTCAAGCGATTCTTCTGCCTCAGCCTCCTGAGTAGGTAGGACTACAGGCACCTGCCACCATGCCTGGCTAATTTTTGTATTTTTAGTAGAGATGGGGTTTCACCAAATTGGCCAGGCTGGTCTCGAACTCCTGACCCCAGGCAATCTGCCCACTTTGGCCTCCCAAAGTGCTAGAATTATAGGCGTGAGCCACCCCGCCCAGCCACAATCCAGATTTTTGAAAAATAGGCATAGTATCTGAGACAGTTCACAGAGAAGGAAAATGGAATGCATTATAAATATAAAAGTGGTTCTTTTAAATTCAACAGCTGGGTTAGTGCTCTTCTCAAGTAATTGGTTAGATATTGGCCAGGGACAGTGGCTCACACCTGTAATCCCAGCACTTTAGGAGGCTGAGGCAGGCAGATCGCTTGAGCCCAGCAGTTGGAGACTAGCCCAGGCAACATGGCAAAACCCCATCCCTACAAAAAATACAGAAATTATCCAGGCATAGTGGCGTGTGCCTATAGTTTCAGCTACTTGGGAGGCTGAGGTGGGAGGATCACATGATCCTGGGAGGTGGAGACTGCCGTGAACTGAGATCATACCACTGCACTCCAGCCTGGGTGGCAGAGCAAAAACCCTGTCTCAAAAAAAAGAAAGAAGTGAGAGATTGTGAGTAAGCTTTGATTTTTAAAATACATTTATTTTTATTTACTTGGTACTGACAAACATTTACAATAATGTTACCTGAGTCACCAGGAAGTGCCCTGTCCAGCCTTTGTACCTCTGATTGCCACGCCTGACATTTTAAGGAATAACATGGCCTGGTCAATTTATGTTTCTTTCAAGAATGGGAGGCCGAGCATGGTGGCTCACACCTGTAATCCCAGCACTTTGGGAGGCCGAGGTGGGTGGATCACCTGAGGCCAGGAGGCCAAGACCAGCCTGGCCAACATGGTAAAACCCCGTCTCTCCTAAAAAGACAAAAATTAGCTGGGCGTGGTGGCAGGCGCCTGTAATCTCAGCTACTCAGGAGGCTGAGGCAGGAGAATCTCTCAAACCCTGGAGGCAGAGGTTGTAGTGAGCTGAGATTGCACTTCAGCCTAAGTGATAAGAGCAAAACTGTCTCAAAAAAAAAATAGGCTGGGTGCGGTGGCTCACGCCTTTAATCCCAGCACTTTAGGAGGCCAAGGTGGGTGGATCACCTGGGGTCGGGAGTTTGAGACCAGCCTGACTAACATGGTGAAACCCTCTCTCTACTAAATACAAAAAATTAGCTGGGCGTGGTGGTGCGTGCCTGTAATTTCAGCTACTTGGGAGGCTGAGGCAGGAGACTCTCTTGAACCCAGAGGCAGACGTTGCAGTGAGCCAAGATGGTGCCGCTGCACTCCAGCCTTGGCAGCAAGAGCAAAACCCCATCTCAAAACAAAGGAACAAAAAAACAAATGGGAGACACAATGCTTTGTGATAAATAAATTTTGTAAAGGGCAAGTTTCAGTGTTCCCTGTTTAATGTTGCAAAATTGCTTTCATGGATACTTTTTGTGTTTATCTGTTGCCTAAATTATTTCCCATTCATATTGCTTTTACTCATTAATGTTGAAATTCAGTGCTTGTAATATCTTTGAATTCTAACATATAGATATGCATGCATGCATATATACATTCATTTAAGTTTTTTAAAAAATTTACTTTTTGTTGGAGTCATTTTAATTCTGGAGTAAAAAAGATGTGGTCTTTTTCCTAGAACGTCCCATACCCTTCGATCATATGATGTACGAACATCTTCAGAAATGGGGTCCACGGAGGGAAGAAGTGAAATTTTTCCTTCGACACGAGGACTCTCCAACTGAGAACAGTGAACAAGGTAGATAAATGCTTTCTTCGTTATTTGTTAGTTTTTGCTAGAAAAGTTAATTTAAGAAAAATAGGAATAAATATTATTCACCTACACCCACCCCTGCACTTGCAAGTGGCTAGAGGGAAAGTTGGTATCTCATGTTTCTTTGGCTTCTGTTAGTGTTGTTTACCATTATGGCACTGTTTTTTTTTTTTGAGACGGAGTCTCTCTCTGTTGCCCAGGCTGGAGTGCAGTGGCGTAATCTTGGCTCACTGCAACCTCCACCTCTGGGGTTTAAGGTATTCTCCTGCCTTAGCCTCCCAAGTAGCTAGGACTACAGTGCATGCCACCACACCCAGCTAAGTTTTGTATTTTTGATAGAGATGGGGTTTCACCATGTTGGCCAGGCTGGGCTTGAACTCTTGACCTCAAGTGATTTGCCACACCTCAGCCTCCCAAAGTGCTGGGATTACAGGTGTCAGCCACTGTACCCAGCCAATTACATCACACTTTTTAGGCATCAATGTTAATTAAACAACATACTCAGATATATAAAGGGACTTGGTGTTTAAAGGGATTGTTTTCGGGTTTTTTTTTTTTTTTTGGAGATGGAGTCTCACTCTCATGCAGGCTGGAGTGCAGTGCGCAATCTCGGCTCACTGCAACCTCTGCCTCCTGGGTTCAAGCAGTTCTCCTGCCTCAGCCTCCCGAGTAGTTGGGATTACAGGCACCCACCACCATGCTAAAGGGATTGTTTTTGGTTAAATAACAGATTGGTCAAACCTCTAGATTTTAAAAGTATATAAAACCATGAAAAGACTAGAAGAAAGCTCTGGGAGATCTTTTTATTTTTAAAGTGAACAAGGCCTTTGTAAGTGTAACACTAAACCATAAAAGACAAGACTGATAAAGGGATTATTTAAAACAAAGGCTGGGTGCAGTGGCTCAGGCTTGTAATTTCAGCACTTTGAAAGGCTGAGGCAGGCAGATCACTTGAGCCAAGTAGTTCGAGACCATCCTGTGAAGCATGGCAAAACCCCATCTCTACAGAAAAATTAAAAAATTAGCTGGTTATGGTGGTGGATGCCTGTAGTCTCAGCTACTTGGGAGGCTGAGGTGGGAGGATTGATTGAGGCCAGAAGTGAAGGCTGCAGTGAGCCGTGATTGTGCCACCACACTCCAGCCAGCCAGGGCAACAGAGAGAGACCCTGTCTCAAAAAAATAAAAATAGGCCGGGTATGGTGGCTCACACCTATAATCCTAGCACTTTGGGAGGCCAAAGCAGGCGAATCACTTGAGGTCAGGAGTTTGTGACCAGCCTGGCCAACATGGTGAAACCCCATCTCTACTAAAAATTAGCCTGGCGTGGTGGTGTGCACCTATAATTCTAGCTACTCAGGAGGCTGAGGCAGAAGAATTGCTTGAACCCGGGAGGCAGAGGTTGTAGTGAGCCAAGATCACGCCACTGCACTCCAGCCTGGGCGACAGAGCGAGACTCCCATCTCAAAAAATATATGTAAATAAAACCAAAAATAACTGCATGGCAATAACATCTAAAAAAAAGTCAAAAGATAAATTATAAACTGGGAAGTAGCATTTATAGCTCATATTGCAAAGGGCTAATTCCCTTTACACGTAAAGAGTTCCTAAAATTTGATAAGAAAAAAGCTTGGCCAGGTGCAGTGATTCACACCTATAATCCCAGCACTTTGGGAGGCAGAGTGGGGCAGATTACCTGATGTTGAGAGTTCGAGACCAGCCTGGCCAACAAGGTGAAACCCATCTCTACTAAAAATACAAAAATTAACCAGGCATGGTGGCTCGCACCTGTAGTCCCAGCTACTCGGGAGGCCAAGACAGGAGAATCGCTTGAACCTGGGAGGCAGAGGTTGCAGTGAGCCTGAGATCGCACCATTGTACTCCAGCCTGGGCAACAAGAGCGAAACTCCATCTCAAAAAAAAAAAAAATAAAACTTAGTAGAATAATAGGAAAAACATATACACACACAGTTCACAGAAAAGGAAATATACATGGCCCTAGGATATATGAAAAGATATTCACTTTATTCCTAACAAAAGACATGCAGAGAAAACTATCTTGAAATACTATATTTTACCTGTCACATTGGCAAAGATTGGAACAGTTAATATCACAGTGTTGACAAGGATGCTGAGAAACAGACAGTCTTCTGCACTGCTGTGGGAGGCAGTTGGCACCTTCTATAGAAGGAAATTTGGCAATAGCTGTTAAACTTACAAAACATAAAACCTTTTACCCAGCAGTTTCATTTCTGAGAATTTATCCTAAAGCTGTGCCCTGGCACATACAAAATGATATATAAACAGGGTTATTCACTGAGCATTGCTGGTAGACACAACCTAAATGTCCACCAGGAGAGATGAGCTAAATAAATTAGGGTCCATCCACACAGCGGAATGCTCTGCAGCCGTAAATAATGAAGAACCTCTGTGCCCTGACCCAGACCATCTCCTAAACATGTTAAATGAATTAGCAAAAAGAATGGGCACACTTAGCTGCCTTTTGTGGAAAGATGACCAAAAAGTAATGTACATCTATATCTGTTTGTATGTGTATATGTATAAAGCAGTTTTGAAAAGATATCTACGCAACTGGGGATGTTGTTGGCCTGGGGGTAAGGGAAAAGTGGCTGTAGATCAGAGGAGGGAGGGTTGTTGATTGTATACCTTTTTGTTCTTTTTGATTTTTGAACCATGGGAGTATACTATATATTTTTGAATTAAAATTTAAAGAAAATAAGAAAATTTTTTCTGAACACATATACACTGTACAGTTAAAAGACCTTTGGCCAGGCACAGTGGCTCATGCCTGTAATCCCAGCACTTTGGGAGGCCGAGACAGGTGGATCACGAGGTCAGGAGATCAAGACCATCCTGGCTAACATGGTGAAATCTCGTCTCTACTGAAAATACGAAAAAATTAGCTAGGCGTAGTGACAGGCGCCTGTAGTCCCAGCTACTCGGGAGGCTGAGGCAGGAGAATGGCATGAACCCGGGAGGTGGAGCTTGCCGTGAGCTGAGATCGCTCCACTGCACTCCAGCCTGGGCGACAGAGCAAGACTGTCTCAAAAAAAAAAAAAGACCTTTAACTTGTTATTTAACAGTGATTATGGATTACTTCTGATATTTAAAAAAATGAACTCAAGCAAATAAAAGGACAATCCTTTATAAAAGTATTATTTCTGTTTTGCAAGTTACTCCCCTTTATTTGTATTTTATAGTAAAGGAAAATTTGCCCTTGGATGAGCTACTATCTACTTTAAAATCATCTTTCTGTAGCTGTAAATATTGTTATAAGGCTGTCTTTTAGAATACCATTACCTCCGGATCCAGGACACCAAGGCTCCGGGCTCAACTCTTCATCTACTTTTACCTTAGACCAGGGTCCCCCCTGTCTTGGGAACATCCACCTGAAGAGAAGGGTTAGACTGGCTGACAGTTGAAGTGCTGCTTTAGTGCTAAGGGTTTATTTTAACTCTCTACCTGAGCTCTGCAGAGACCTATACCCTCCCTCAACTAGCTATACTTAAATAAAAAGTCTTACCTTTTACTTATTAATATATACCTAATTCTTAATGTCCTGAGGAGAGGTTACTTTTTTTCTCACTTTATAAAGTTTGGAAATCGGCCAGGCGTGGTGGCTCATGCCTGTAATCCCAGCACTTTGGGAGGCCGAGGCGGGAGGATCACGAGGTCAGGAGATTGAGACTATCCTGGCTAACATGGTGAAACCCCATCTCTACTAAAAATACAAAAAATTAGCCGGACCTGGTGGCGGGCGCCTGTAGTCACAGCTGCTGGGGAGGCTGAGGCAGGAGAATGGCGTGAACCTGGGAGGCAGAGCTTGCAGTGAGCCGAGATCGCACCACTGCACTCCAGCCTGGGAGACAGAGCGAGACTCCATCTCAAAAAATAAAATAAAATAAAATAAAGTTTGGAAATGGGCTGGGTACGGTGGCTCATGCCTGTAATCCCAGCACTTTGGGAGGCTGAGGTGAGAGGATTGCATGAGCCCAGGAGCTGTACATTCACTCTCTTTCATGCCCCGACTCAGAATTCCATCTTCCCTACCTGTAACACTCTACCCTCTGCCCCTTACCTCTGCCTAAAAGGGTGGCATAGAGAGTAGCTTATTGGATGCTGTCTCATGTTTTGTTTTGCTTTTGCTCACTATACTCCTCCCTTCAGCTTATTAATATTCTTTTTTTCTTTTTCTTTTTTTTTTGAGATGGAGTCTTGCTCTGCGCCCAGGCTGGAGTGCAGTGGCCGGATCTCAGCTCACTGCAAGCTCCGCCTCCCGGGTTTACGCCATTCTCCTGCCTCAGCCTCCCGAGTAGCTGGGACTACAGGCGCCCGCCACCTCGCCTGGCTAAGTTTTTGTATTTTTTAGTAGAGACGGGGTTTCACCGTGTCAGCCAGGATGGTCTCGATCTCCTGACCTCGTGATCCGCCCATCTCGGCCTCCCAAAGGGCTGGGATTACAGGCTTGAGCCACCGCGCCCGGCCTTTTTTTTTTTTTTTTTAGAGACAGTCTCACTCTGTCACCAGGCTGGAGTGCAGTGGTGCAATCTCAGCTCACTGCAACCTCCACCTCCCAGGTTCAAGCAGTTCCCCTGCCTCAGCCTCCTGAGGAACTGGGACTACAGGTGTGCACCACCACACCCGGCTAATTTTTTGTATTTTTAGTAGAGATGAGGTTTCACCATGTTGGTCAGGATGGTCTCAATCTCCTGACCTCGTGATCTGCCCACCTTGGCCTCCCAAAGTGCTAGGATTACAGGCGTGAGCCACCACCTCCAGCCCCTGTCTCAGTTTTAACTCTGTTAGTGAAGGCCTTTTTTTTTTTTTTTTTGAGACAAGATTTCACTTGTTACCCAGGTTGGAGTGCAGTGGCGTGATCTTGGCTCACTGCAACCTCTGCCTCCTGGGCTCAAGTGATTCTCCCATTTCAGCCTTCCAAGTAGCTGGGACCAGAGGTGTGTGCTACCATGCCTGGCTAAATTTTTTGTATTTTTGGTAAAGATAGGGTTTCACACTGTTGCCCAGGCTGGTCTTGAACTCCTAGTCTCAAGTGATCCTCCTGCCTTGGCCTCTGAAAGTGCAGGGATTACAGGCATAAGCCACCATGCCTGGCCCTAATGCAGATGCCTTTTGGATTTTTTTTTGCTTTTGGTTTTGGTTTTTTTTTTGAGACAGAGTCTCACTCTGTCGCCCAGGCTAGTGTGCAGTGATGCTATCTCAGCCCACTGCAACCTCCCCCTCCTGGGTTCAAGTGGTTCTCCTGCCTCAGCCTCCTAGGTAGCTGGGATTACAGGTGTGCGCCTCCATGCCTGGATAATTTTTGTAATTTTACTAGAGACAGGGTTTTGCCATGTTGGGCAGGCTGGTCTCAAAACTCCTGGCTTCAAGCAGCCTGCCCGCCTCAGTCTTCCAAAGTGCTGGGATTACAGGCATGAGCCACCACGCCTGGCTGTAAATGCCTTTTTGAAAAAATTTTTCTCTTTTTTCCCCTCTTGGTAATATGAATGCCAAATTTTTATCTTTATTTTATTTTTGAGATAGGGTCTCACTGTCACCTGGACTGGAGTGCAGTGGCGCGATCATGGTTCACTGCAGTCTCTACCTCCTAGGCTCAAGCTATTCTCCTCAGCCGCCTGAGTGGCTGGGACTACAGGCACATGTCACCATGCCTGGCTACTTTCTGTATTTTATTTTATTTTATTTATTTATTTATTTTTTTTTAATTTTTTTTTTTTGAGACGGAGTCTTGCTCTGCCGCCCAGGCTGGAGTACAGTGGCCGGATCTCAGCTCACTTCAAGCTCTGCCTCCCGGGTTCACGCCATTCTCCTGCCTCAGCCTCTCGTGTATTTTATTTTTGTAGAGACAGATTTTCGCCATGTTGCCCAGGCTGGTCTTGAATTCCTGAGCTCAAGTGATCCTCCCACCTTGAGAGAATCCCAGCACCTCCCAAAGTGCTGGGAATACAGACGTGATCCACCTTGCCCAGCCCCAAATTTTTATTTTTAATAGTGATAAAATACACATAAAATTTACCATCTTCTTCATTTTAAAATGTTAAAAGCCTTTTGATAACAAGTCAATTTCAAGATTCTGAGATAGAATGTAAAAAGAAAAGATTTCATTTAAACAGCTTTATTTCATTTATTTTTAATTTATTTTTTTAAGACAGGGTCTTGCTTTGTTGCCCAGGCTAGAGTGCAACAGAGCAAGATTGTACAGTAGCCCAATCCTGGCTCACTGCAGCCTCGACCTCTCTCGCTCAAGTCCTTCTCCTGCCTTAGCACCCCAAGTAGCTGAGACTACAGGGTGTACCACCATACCCGGCTAATTTAAAAAAATTTATTGTGGAGACAAATTCTCCCCATGTTGCTGAGGCTGGTCGAGAACTCATGGGCTCAAGCTGTCTTGCTGCTTTGGCCTCCCAAAGTGCTGGGATTATGGGTGTGCGCCACTGAGGGTGGCCTAAACAACTTTTATAAAAGATTAATTGCAAGACCATTTTTTCAACTGTACTAAAGTCTTGAATTTCTCAGCCTGGTATTTTACACTTGTGTTCAATAAATATTTGAATACATGAAGAAATGGGAGAATATTACTTTTTTCTAATATGCCTTTCGGTGAGTTTGGTTCTTTTATTTCTTTAGGTGGCCGTCAGACCCAAGAGCAACGAACTCAGAGAAATGTAACAAATGTACCTGGAGAAAAACGCACTGAAAATGGGGTAAGTGAGAGTGAATTAAATTGAATTTTAAAAATTGATGGCTAGGTGCAGTGGGTTACACCTGTCGTCGCAGCACTTTGGGAGGCCAAGGTGGGAGGATCACATGAGGCCAGGAATTTGAGATCAGCCTGAGCAAGATGGTGAGACCCTTTCTCTATAAAAGGTTTTAAGAAATTAGTCAGATGAGGCCAGGTGCAGTGGCTCACACCTGTAATCCTAGCACTTTGGGAGGCTGAGGCATGTAGATCACGAAGTCAGGAGTCGAGATCAGCTTGGCCAATCTGGTGAAACCCCGTCTCTACCAAAAAATATAAAAATTAGCCGGGTGTGGTGGCGTGCGCCTGTAGTCCCAGCTACTCGGGAGGCTGAGGCAGGAGAATTGGTGGAACCTGAAAGGCAGAGGTTGCAGTGCACCAAGATCGTGCCACTGTACTCCAGCCTGGGCAACAGAGTGAGACTCCATGTCAAAAAAAAAGAAAAAAGGAAAGTCAGATGTGGCCAGGCATGGTGGCTCATGCCTGTAATCCCAGTACTTTGGGAGGTCAAAGCAGGCGGATCCCCTGAGGTCAGTTCAATACCAGGCTGACCAACATGGTAAAACCCTGTTTCTACTAAAAATGCAAAAAAAAATTAGCTGGGCATGGTGGCGGGCACCTGTAATCCCAGTTACTTGGGAGGCTGAGGCAGGAGAATCGCTTGAACCCAGGAGGCGGAGGTTGGAGTGAGCCAAAATCGTACCGTTGCACTCCAGTCTGGGCAAAAAGAGTGAAATTCCATCTCAAAAAAAAAAAAAAAAATTAGATGTGGTGGCATCCACCTGTACTCCCAGCTACTCAGGAGGCTGAGGTGGGATGATGACTTGAGCCCAGGAGTTTGAGGCTGCAGTGAGTCATGATTGTACCACTGCACTTCAGCCTTGTCAGAGTAAGACCGTGGTTTTGTTGTTGTTGTTGTTTGTTTGTTTGTTTGTTTTAGATTGCTTTTTACTGGTACTAATGAGTTTGGGTTATAACTTATTTTTAAATTATTATTTTTGGGGTAGATATTGTCATTTTTATTGAATATTTCAAAATATCATATGAAGTTATAAAGCAGCAGTCACTGAGACGTGTTGCCTATTCACATGATGCTCCATGAATCAGATCACGTCTCCTTTGGAGCAGACTTCCACCTGCCCTTCACATGCTGCTGCCATGTCCTCTGCTGGAGCAGGCAGTGGGTGCCCTCTGTGCACGTAACCACAGCATCTCTGTGGCGGCAGATGGGCTATGGGCTTAGCTCGTAGACTAAGAGTTGAGTAGGCTGACTTGCTTTGCATCTTCAATGTTGGCTCTGGATCTTCTGTCAGGTTTTGACAGACACAATGGATGGTGGGCTGCAGTGTCTTCCTCCATCATTGTGGTATAGACTTGGAGAATAGATGGAATGCTGATCATAGGTGAGGGGAGCTGTGGAGGAGCTCTTTGTAAGAAATGTTGGTGTTGGCTGGGCATGGTGGCCCACACCTGTAATAATGGCACTTTGGGAGGCCAAGGTGGGTGGATCACCTGAGGTCAGGAGTTTGAGATCAGTCTGAGCAAGATGGTGAGACCCTCTCTCTATCAAATGTTTTATAAAATTAGTCAGATGAGGCCGGGTGTGGTGGCTCACGCCTGTAATCCTAGCACTTTGGGAGGTTGTGGTACACAGATCACAAGGTCAAGAGTTCGAGATCAGCTTGGCCAATCTGGTGAAACCCCGTCTCTACAAAAAAATACAAAAACTAGCCGGGCGTGGTGGTGTGTGCCTGTAGTCCCAGCTGCTCGGGAGGCTGAGACAGGAGAATCGCATGAACCCAGGAGGCAGAGGTTGCAGTGAGCCGAGATCGTGCCACTGCATTCCAGCCTGGGCAAGAGAGTGAGACTCCGTCTCAAAAAAAAGAAATGTTAGTATGTGTTGAAAGAATGAACCAATAGGGACATTTTTAATGTGGTCTTTTCTGAAAATTTTAAAGATAACTTTAACAAGTAATTTTAAGATTAGAGATTGAGTTTCTTTTTGTGCTGTAACACTAACTAGGCATCTAAGCTTAGGCAAGTTCCTTCCTCACACAGGGCTGGGCATGATGAGACACTGGTAAAGTGCATGGAGTCTAGAGTGTGACTGGTCCATGTTCAGCCCACTGGCCTCGGAACTTTCTAATGAGCTGAATTTGAGCAAATTACTTCACCTCTCTACTTCCCAACTTATTATTGAATTGCTAGTTCTTTTATTGGCTATATTTGTGACCCTACATCATGTACTTAAATCTCTGTTTATTTGCACTATCAACTTTAAACAGTATCACTGGACCTTGCTCTTCATAAAATGAGAATATTAGGCCCCTGCCATCTTCCCTTCCTTCCTTTCAGCTCTTGCAGCTGTACCAAACTTTTATGTTGTAAAGGTTGACAATATTTGTATATCGTTATCTAACTATAAACCTTTTGTGCTTTGTCTGTAGATTGGTTATAAAGTTGAAAACCAATTTAGTAGTTTTATTATTTTAGATTTTGCAGGTATTATCCACTGCAGAGCCATGTGGTATACTAGATTATATTTTCTTCTCTTTGGTTTCAATATCATAATCTTTCTGCCACTCAGGGAGAAATATTCCTGTTGTTAAGATTGTAGGTTCTCCCTCCTTATACTCTAATTTATAAAAGTCGTTTCACAAATCCTCTTCACATTCCTACCTTCTATCATTAAAGTAGAGATTTGTCCACTGCAAATCCAGAGCCTCTGCAGAGTTCTTCCAGGCAGATCTGCTTCAGGATGTATGAAGCAGATCTTCCAGGCAGATATGCTTAAGAAATAGAGGCACACACGCCACTGGTAGAAATTTTCATTCAGTAAATCTGGAGTGGGGCCTAGAAAACTCCCCACGTGACTATGTTGCCATGCCAAGCTTGGGAACATCCAGGTTACACTTTAGCAAGCACAGCTTATTTGTCCAACAGAATGTTGAAGATCTTTTTGAGTTCTAAGATTTACCATGGGACGGGCGCAGTGGCTCGCTCCTGTAATCCCAGCACTTCGGGAGGCCAAGGCAGGCGGATCACCTGAGGTTAGGAGTTCTAGACCAACCTGGCCAACATGGTGAAACCCTCTCTCTACTGAAGATACAAAAATTAGCCGAGCATGATGGCAGATGCCTGTAATCCTAGCTATTCGGGAGGCTGAGGCGGGAGAGTTGCTTGAACCCAGGAGACGGAGGTTGCAGTGAGCTGAGATTGCACCACTGGATTCCAGCCTGGGTGACAGAGCAAGACTCTGTCTCCAAAAACAAAAAAATAAATGAATGAAAGAAAGGAAGAAAGGGAGGGAAGGAGGGAGGGAAGGAGGGAGGAAGGGAGGGAGGAAGGAAGGAATTACCATGACCTGAACTTCAGGGAAGATTAAATAGATACATTGAGTAGGCCGTGTGTTGAAGAAGTGAGGTGTATTATATATGATATAATATGTGGAAGAGACTCAAAAGAAAAGTATTCCAAAGGTATGATAAATTGGATAGACCAGTTTTGATGTGATGAGACCTTTTCCTTGATGAAGTTGTTTCTTGTTAATATGGAGATATTGTGTGTATTTCAAGATCAACAAAATTGAAACCTGAAACCAAACGTGTTTTTATCCTTTATGTGGCTTGTAATTAGAGGAAAGTACGAGAGCTCCTCTAGAGGCATAACTTAGTATTGGAATCATCACATTAAAGATGTTACTGTATTTTATGGCTTACACATCTACCTTTTAAGCTTAATAATACGTAACCTTGTGAAACACTTTATTGTCTACAGAGCACTTTTACGTGCATTTTAAGATATGAAAAACATCTTCCCCCAAAATGTTTCTGTGTATACCTTGGTTATAGAATAATGAGGTGCTAAGCCTTCTAACTTCTGGGTTGAGACATCTAAGGACAGATTAAGGAGAACTGTGAGGAAAGGGAGGGAGTGTGGGTTAGAAGAGAAGGGCAGGATGCTGAGTTGGTGTGATTGATGTCCATCAGCAGCTGCTGAACTAAGAAGCCAGGGAAGTTCTGCTCTCTGAAAATTGCAGGACAGCAAGTCAGGTTAGTACATGTGCTGGTTTGTCATTATGCTATAAAGGCAAATTGATTTGTTCTCATTATATATGCCTGTGTTGAAGCTTCCAAGATGTCCCCAGGTTCCGTGATTTGCTAGTATGACTCAGGACTAAGCATAGCTCTTGAGTTGCTACAATGAAAGGATTCAGAGCCAGATCAGCAAAGAGGAAAGACACATTCGACTTAGGTATCCTGGAAGTACTTTTTCCTGTCTTCTCAGCCAAACAGGTTTAAAATCTGAGTCAGTTTTTGCTTCATTTTAGGATATCCAGTAAGTTGCTAAGACCAATTGATCCTACCCTCCTGTGTTTTCTTCTAAGAGCTTTATAGTTTTAGCTCTTGCGTTTAGTTCTGTGATCAATTTTTGAGTTAATTTTTGTGTATAGTGTGAGTTACAGGATTCAAATTCATTCTTTTCCATGTAAATATCCAGTTCTCCCAGCACCACTTGGTGAAAAGACTATTCTGTCTCCCACTGAATTGCCTGACACCTTTGTCAGATCAGCCGCTCATAAATGTGATGTTTATTCCCAGAGGCATTGCTAGTGTAGTTACCCAGGCACCGTTTTTCCATGTGGCGCCCAAGACTCAACTGTGCCCGTCATCTCCTAGGCCAGATCACATTTCAACTGACCACAAATGTGATGTTTATTCCCAGAGGCATTGCTAGTGTAGTTACCCAGGCACCGTTTTCCATGTGGTGCCCAAGACTCAACTGTGCCCATCATCTCCTAGGCCAGATCACATTTCAACTGTCTAGAGAAAAACTCAGACTTCTGCCAGGAGAGAAGAGAGGCAGTCACCTAGGAGCATGGAGTTGGGGAGGAGATAGGGATTTAACTGCCTCTTAAATATCGTTCACTCAGTCTGCCTTATTTTCAGTCCCTACATTTTATTC